TATGTTCTTTATGTATGTCTGTGTTCTGTCTGAACCTCTGGCGCGGTGTTCGCTCACCCGTAAGTTACTTTATGTTTATGTTTATGTTTTTTATGTTTTTTTATGCATGTTTGTGTTCTGTCTGAACCTCTGGCGCGGTGTTCGCTCACCTGTAAGTTACTTTATGTTTTTTATGTTTTTTATGTATGTTTGTGTTCTGTCTGAACCTCTGGCGCGGTGTTGACTTACCCGTAAGTTGATTTATGTTTGTTTGTGTTCTGTTTATACTCTAATGCAGCGTGAGCTCAGTAACTAACTACTTACTCCAACTACAAAACCAACACTCACCTTAGACTCCTGTATTTTGTTAGATGCAGTGTTTTCCTAATGCACTTCCAAAATATCATGCCTGGTTTTCTCAAAGTACTGTTGCAGGAAGTAAGTCCTTTTAACTACTCCAGGTCAGGTCAGGATAATCGAGAGCAACCTTGCTACTGGTATCACGTAACCCAGTACCACCTGCCACAAGCCTTACTGCCTTGCAGAGTGTGCTCTTCTTAGGCAAAGGCTAGGAGAAATAAACTCCGACTAAAAATTTCCCTGCCTTGGGGCTCTTGGTTGAGTAAAGGCTCGAGATGGTGTCTCGATAAAAAAAATCATCTTGGGCAGATGTTAACTGCATCCAGCTAAACATCCCCTGCCTTGGGGCTCTTGGTTGAGTAAATGCTAGAGATGGTGTCTCGATAAAAATACTCATCTTGGGCAGATGTTAACTGCATCCAGCTACTGTCTTGTAGAAGGCCTCCTAGACAAAGACTTTAGGGATAAGCAGAAAAATTCTGCTAACCAGCCTCGAACCCCTTCTTCATCTATTAGGCTGGCGTAGATGTAACCTGTGTTACATTGTTTCCTGCCTAGAATGATGAATGCTGGATCTCCTTGACTCTACTCATAGAATTTTGCTTATGCCTCCTTGATAATGGCTATGCAACTCTTCCTGTGATCTCCATATGAGGATACAGCTCTAAAACTCAGTTTAATGGTTCTGAGGCCGGCTGGTAGTAAGGTTTCCCGAGCTCTGTGGTAGCTCTCAGAGAGGCTGATTCCATCAACAGCTGCAAAATGTCAGAGTATTAACATTGCCATGTTGCGCATGGATGGTGTCCCTGTTAATGCTTTTGGTGCGCTTTGTCAAGACCACATAAGGAGCCCTATGTCACGGCTTAGAGTTAATTAACAGGACAGAGACAACTGCATAGCTCATTGACTAGAAGGCTGTGCTCTATCTATGAATGAGTCAAGTTCTCATTAAACCCAAATCATGACCAAAGTAACCAAAAATTTAAAACCTAAAAAACCATCCCCACCACCTAAATATTTTAATATATCTTTTACAAATATTCGCGGTCTACGAAGCAACTTTCCATTAGTTGAGTCTTACCTCCTGCAAAATTCACCAGACTTGCTTGCAGTCAGTGAAACAAATTTAAATTCTGCAATTCCTTTTTCAGATGTCAGTGTTGATGGGTACTATCCTTTGATTCGTAAAGACTCCAATAGTCACATGCTAGGTTTAGGGGTATACATACGCATTAATTCCCCTATTTGTCGTGAAATCAGGTTCGAATCCTTTGACCATTCTTTTATGTGCTTTCGCCTAGCACCTCTTCACTCTATCACCTTTCTCTTTGTTCTTTATCGTTCTCCTTCTTCCCATGATTGCACTCTCTTAGATGTTATCTTTGATCAAATTGACCATGCCCTCTCTCTTTACCCCTCTGCCAATATTGTTGTTGTTAGTGATTTTAATGCCCATCACACTAAATGGCTTGGCTCTAACACCACTGATCCTGCTGGCACTAAAGCCTTTAACTTCTGCGTTTCTCAATCTCTTACTCAGATAGTTAACTTTGTGACTCGTTCTCCTGACAACTCTAATCATTTACCTTCACTCCTTGACTTATGTCTTGTCTCTGACCCTAGCTTATGTTCAGTTTCTCCCTTTTCTCCCTTAGGTGGTTTTGACCATGCAATGATCTCTATAAATCTTTCTTCTCGTACTTCTTTTTTGGGCTCACCTTATCATCGCACCACCTACTACTACCCTAAAGCTGACTGGAATTCCTTTCGTGATTTTCTTCGTGATGGTCCTTGGGCTGATGTTTTTTCTCTCTCAGCTGACAAATGCGCCTCCTACATAACCTCCTGGATTCAGGCTGGAATGGAAGCTTTTATTACTTCGCGTCGGTTTCAAGTCAAGCCTCATTCTACTCCATGGTTTTCTCCTTCTTGTGCGGCTGCTATATCCAATCGTAATCATTTTTTTCATCTTTTTCAAAAGAACAACTCTCTTGAGAACAAACGGCTATTTATTATTGCAAGAAATCGATGTAAAAAGGTGCTTTCTGATGCTAAACTCCATTATTCTTAGTTCACTAAATCTCGCATCTTATCACAGAAGTTAGGCTCTAAAGACTTTTGGAAAATCTTCAACAGCATTATTAACAAGGGTAAATCTAACATTCCATCTCTCATTCATGGGACTGATCTTATTACCTCTCCCAAGGATAAGGCAGAACTATTTGCAAAGAACTTTTCTTCTAATTCCACTCTTGAATCTTATGGACATTCTCTTCCTTCCATTCCAGTCAAACAGGTTGACCCATTGTTAGACATTCAAATCACTCCGGCTTCTGTTGCTAAAGTCATATCTCAATTAAACTCGTCTACAGCTTGTGGTCCAGACAACATTCCTGTCACAGTCTTGCAGAATTGTTCTCCAGAACTTTCTTCAATTCTCTCTAAACTATTTAACAAATGTTTGACTGAGTCTTGTTTTCCTGCTTGTTGGAAAATGGCATCTGTGGTTCCAATATTCACAAACTCTGGAGAAAATTTTGACCCCTCCAATTATCGTCCGATCAGTCTTCTTTCTGTTATTAGCAAGGTCTTTGAGTCTTTGATCAACAAATTACTTACATCTCATCTTGAGTCAAATAAACTACTGTCAGACAATCAATACGGTTTTCGATCCTCTCGCTCTACGGCCGACTTGCTAACTGCTGTAACTGAAAGATTTTATCGTGCATTAGATGGAGGCGGTGAGGCTAGGGCTATTGCTCTCGACATATCTAAAGCTTTCGACAAAGTTTTGCATGCTGGTCTTCTCCATAAGTTTGCTTCATATGGTGTTTCTGGGAAAGTTTTTGAGATTATCAAATCATTTCTTTCTAACCGGTTTATTAAAGTCATCCTTGAAGGCCAACACTCTTCTTTATTTCCAGTAACTTCTGGGGTTCCCCAAGGTTCCATCCTGGGCCCTGTTTTGTTTCTTATCTACATAAACGATCTTCCTGACAACCTTTTATCTAAAGTAGCTCTTTTTGCTGATGACTCAACTTTATACTCCTGTCTTGACAAAAAGTCTTCTCTTTTCGATCGCCTAGAACAAGCAGCTGATCTTGAATCCGATCTCACTTCAGTGATAGATTGGGGTTCACAGTGGCTTGTGAATTTTAACTCTAAAAAAACCCAGTTGCTTACTGCAAACAACTACCGTAATATGGTCAACATTCCTATATTAATGAATGGCAATCCTCTTACTGAGTCGTCCTCTTTACGTCTTCTTGGATTATCGCTTACTACTGACCTTTCATGGAAACCATATATACAATCGATTGCTAAATTAGCTTCTGCTAAGGTTGCTTCTCTTTATCGTGCTCGCCATTTCCTTACTTCTGATTCCATTCTCTACCTCTACAAATCTCTTATTCGTCCCTGTATGGAATACTGTTGTCATATTTGGGCTGGTTCTTCTAACGATTCACTTTCTCTTCTTGACAAGGTCCAAAAACACATTGTAAATGTTGTTGGACCTGGACTATCTGCTAAGCTTGAACCTCTTTCCCATCGTCGTAAAGTTGCATCTCTTTCTCTTTTCTACAGATACTATAATGGTCACTGCTCAAAGAAGTTATCATCTCTAGTTCCATCAACTAAAATTCATTCTCGTTTTGCTCGTCATTCAGCTAAGTCTCATTCGTTTACTGTATCTGCCCCTGCATGCTCTAAAAACTTTTATTCATCTAGTTTTTTCCCCGCACTTCAATCCTTTGGAACTCTCTCCCATCTTCATGTTTTCCTGACTCATACAACCTTCAACTTTTCAAGTCTTCTGTCAACCGTTTCCTTGCTCTATAACTCTGTTCTTTTTTTCCTAGTAGCTCCCAACTTGATAGTGGTTGCTTGCAGCCTTGTTGGGAGTAAATGCAAATAAAAAAAAAAAAAAAAAATATGTCACAAATATAAATTTTTAAATAAATGTTACATTGCGTCTTTTTTTTTTTTTTAATTTATCTAATTGAGATGTAACATAACGTTTAAAATAGTCTATGTTTGAGATGTATTTTAGTTACGTCTCAAATCTAGATTTAGTTACGTTACATTACGTCTCAATTGGTTACACTTTATAAAGTTAAAAACAAAAACAATTAAGACGAAACGTTGTGAATTGAGATTTTTTCTTCTTTTTTTTAATGACAAAGTAACCGATTAATATGGAGCTATTTTACAATAAAAGTAAAATAAAAGATAGTATTTAGCAATATGGCAATAATAAACAAACAACTGCATTATCAAGTTTATTTACTTAATGTTTAATTAAAAATTAGAAAATGTAATCTTTTTACGGATTGTAACCGATTGAGACGTAACTTAACTTTGAAATGTAATAGGGGATATATATATATATATATATATATATATATATATATATATATATATATATATATATATATATATATATTTATATATATATACATATATATATATATATATATATATATATATATATATATATATATATATATATATATATATATATATATATATATATATATATATATATATATATATATATATTGATAATTAGATAAGTGTTTTTACTAATTTATTATTGCTCTGTTCTTTAAAGAACAGAGCAATAATATGTTCTATAAAAAATTTAAATTCATTTTTAAAAGGTTGATAAAGATGATGAAACAAAAACTACTGTTTTTACCATTGCATGTACGCCATCACAAAGTTATCACAATCGTGCTTTTGATGATGACAATGCAGTGTTATGGTGCAGTTGGGTTATTTGTAGTTCACGTTACAAAATTTTTGTGTCAGGTTCAACTGGGTATGCTAAAGTTTTTCAATCTATTGGGAAAAAATATGGTCCATTTCACATAGCTGCACTACCTATTGGTGGTTATGATCCAAAATCTAGAAATGGTTATGGAAATCTTACTCCTGAACAAGCTGTACAAGTTCATAAAGATATTTTAGCCATGCACACTTTAGCATTATCTTGGGGAACATTTACACTAAGTAGTGAGGTTGGTTTTAAATATTGGTTAAATAATAGTTAGAAAATAGCTGAAAAAATTTAAATTTCTTTATTACTTTTAACATAGTTGTATACTTCAAGAAATAAATTTATTTTATATAAGGATTATTCTTACATAATTTTTTCTGAGATTTCAATATAAAATTTGTTTGAAGTGTGTTTTATGTTTAATAATCTTTTGATTGGTTTTGTTTGCAGCATTACCTAGAACCTCCACATCGCTTAAATGATGAGTTAAAAAAATCTGGATTATCTAATACACAGTTTTTTGTCCTCAAACATGGTGAATCAAGACTCATTATTATAAACGACCTTTTGAAAGAAGATGCTAATGGATATATAAAAGTCTGTTGTTTTTTTTTTAAATTGTTTTGGATTATTTATAGTTTTAGGATTTTTGTAGGTTATTCTGAAAATAATAAAAGTGATGATTTTATGATATATTGATTTTAAAATATTATATCTTTAAAAAAGAGGGTTCAAACCTCTAGATGAGTAATAAAAGTGCAAAAGAGGTTGATAGGAGGAGAGCTGGAAAAAAAAGAGTAAAAACATTGACAGGTCAAAAACAATATTTCATATAAAAAAAAGTATGTATTTTGAAAAACAGAATTTTTAAATATTTTTTTACTTAGAAAGCAATATATAAGACATATATGGTGTAACAATCTTTGAAATCCAAGATCTTCTACTAAAAAAAATAATTTAATACCAGCTGTAACCATTCCTACAATACAGCTATGAATTAATTTAGATCTGTGATCTTTAATGTCACAGGGTTTTTCTGTCTCAGGTGTTCTAAACAAAGTTTGCTGAGACTGTATTGAGCAAGTTGCCTCATTTGTATTTACTTTTTTTAACATTTTGTATTTCTACTTTCTTTCTTCATCAAGTTTTAACTCATTTTTCTATTTCTTTATGTTTCCTATTAATATGACACAAGAAGTCGCAAATTATAAAATATTTGTTGCATTTAAAGATTTAGAGTTTGTTTTTTTTTACCTTTAATCTTAAGTTTTTAATCTAAAGTTTTTAATCTTGAGTTTGCATGTATTGTAGTTGAGGGATCTTCAGAATAAATTGTAAAATGTTTGCATACCCAACTACATGATTTCAAAATAATATATTTTTCAACTAGAGCTACTGTCATAAGACAAAAGATTTTTATGATTCTACCCAAGGGCCATCACAAAGAAAATCACAGAAAGAGTCCCAGGAAGCTTTATGGTAGTTGTATGATATACATAGGGGGATTCTGATGATGAAGAAAAAAAAAGAGAATAGTTTTAGAGAGATCAAGCTGTAATAAAAAGCACCTAAAGGTGAGCGTGGAGAAACTTAGCACTAACTAGGATCAGAAACAAGTCAAATAGAGAAGGTAAATCCGGATTGTCTAGAAAGCTCTCTAACACAAACAGTCGGAATGTTGACTATTTGTGTTAGAGTTTGAGGAAGGCAATAGTTAAAATTAACGCCTGTTGAGTAACTGACACTAGAATGAAATCATTCAGTTTGATAAGCATTATAGTCACCAACAACAACGATATTGGCGGAAGGATAAAGTGAAAGGCTTGGTCAGTTTGATCAGAAATAACATTGAAAAGAATTTTGTTTTATAATATAGAAGAGCGATATAGAACAAAGAGAGAGGTGGTAGAATGAATTTATGCTAAACAAAAGCACATAAAAGAATACTCTGTGGATTCAAACATAGTTTTGCAAATGGGTGAATTTTTACGAATATAAATGCACAGGCCAAGTATGTGACTAATGGAGTCTTTACAAAGTAAAGGAAGTCCATCAACATTAAGATCACAGGATGAAACCACCAACACTAAGATTACACGATAAAACAGCTAAACTTGGAAAAAAATATTTAAAAAAGTTACTTATAAGTAAAAAAATTAATTACAAAATGTAAATTGTATTCAACAATAACAACAACAACAAAGACAACAATATTATCTCCGGTTTAAAGTTTAAATACATTTAAATCTGTTCAAAAGGATCACTGTCATATAGGATTGCTAAAATGTGGAGAGTGGCCATTTATATTATAAGAAAAATAATCAAAAATACTAAAAAAAACTACTAAAATAAAAAAGAAAAAAAAAAAAAAAGCATATTAGCAAAATTAAAGTTAATAAAAATTAAATGAATGAAAAATGTGTCATAAAAAAGGAAATTTTTATTTTAGTTTAATGTTTACAGTTTTATGTTTTATGTTTACGGTTTTATATTATTAATTAATAGAGAGTAATAAAAATAGTAAATAAAAATACACAAATATCTACAAGATTCCAAAAAGATATATTACATTCCGGGAAGTATCCACAAGATTTCAAAAAGACATATTGTATCCACAAGATTCCGAAAAGACATATTGTATCCACAAGATTCCAAAATGACATATTGTATCCACAATATTCCAAAAAGACATATTGTATCCACAAGATTCCAAAATGACATATTTTACCCACAAGATTCCAAAATATATATTGTATCAACAAGATTCCAATAAGACGTATTGTTAAAGATAAAATAAATCTGCAAACATCATAAAATATTCTTATTAAAATATAATTCAAGAAAAAATTTTTTTACATTGTTTTAAGTGCATTTTTATTTAAAGCATTATTCTTGAAATAATAATAAAAACGATAATAATAATAATATACTAAAAGTATGTAAAAAATTTCTCCAAAATCTTCAAAATCTCTCAAATTCTCCAAAATCTTCAAAAATGTATAAGGCTTTTAGACTTAATGTTTTTTAGTTTAAGTTTGGCTTATTTAAAATACATTTTTCATATATATATATATATATATATATATATATATATATATATATATATATATATATATATATTTATATATACATATATATAGTTATACATATATATATATATATATATATATATATATATATATATATATATATATATATATATATATATATATATATATATATATATATATACATATATATATATATATATATATATATATATATATATATATATATATATATATATATATATATATATATATATATATATATATATATATATATATATGTGAATATATATATATATATATATATATATATATATATATATATATATATATATATATATATATATATATATATATATATATATATATATATATATATATATATATAAATATATATATATGCTTGCTGTGCCTCCTTTGCAAGCATATATATATATATATATATATATATATATATATATATATATATGCTTGCAAAGGAGTGATAAATAATAGTAACAATAATAATAATAATAATAATAATAATAATAATAATAATAATAATAATAATATACTAAAATTATGTAAAACATTTCTCCAAAAAATCTTCAAAAATGTATAAGGCTTTAGACTTAATATTTTTAAGTTTTAGTTTGGTTTGTTTAAAATACAGTTTTCATATATTTATATATAAATTTTTGATTTAGAAAAAGACTACTGAAACAGAATCTCAAGCCAATAACATCATTAAAGAAACACAGACAGAAGAACAAAATAATAGTAAAACTGAAAAAAGCCTATTATTAGAAAACCATTTAAAAAAAAATAGTTTTGAGAGTCCACTTGTAAAGAACAAAGAAGAGCATCTTATAAATGTAGAGTTTGGAACTAATGATGTGCTTTCACAAAATGATGCAACAAAAAATAGAGTATTAAAATTGTTTTGTAGAATACATTTTTTTTAAAATTGTTTAAATATATACATATATATATATATATATATATATATATATATATATATATATATATATATATATATATATATATATATATATATATATATATATATATATAATGGTACCGTGCTCAACTTGTTTCTCCATGCCACCACCTTGTTCATCAAGGTTTTTGTTTTGGAGTTAAGGAGTTGAAAGAGGGTTATAACTGCAATAAAGCAGCCTTCTTGAATGTAATGGCTCTCTTGGCCTTGGGGAGACAAATATCATTAAAATAAGAAATATATATATATTTATATATATATATATATATATATATATATATATATATATATATATATATATATATATATATATATTCAAATAATAAAATACAACCTTACAGTGGTATTCTGAATTTCATGTCTAGTGGCAATCATCAGCCATATATTTTTAAATCAAGAAATTAGAAAACAGTTAAAAATACAAAATAAACAATGGAATGAGATCTGATATCAAGAATTGATTATATAAATGTCAAATTGAGAAAGTAGGAGTTTATTTTCGATGATGACATTTTTCAAATAACAACAATAGTTTTTTTAATTAAAAAAACAAAATATATCAATATAGAGAAATAAATTCCTTTTTTCTCAGTTCAACACAAGTTACATATATATATTTTAGACTTTAATTGATTTTTGACATTAGGTCTCGTTTCATTGTTTAATTTGTATTTTTAATATTTTTTTATTTCTTGAGATGAAAATATGTGGCTTATGATTGCTGCCTGGAGTGAAACTCTTAGTACCAATAAAAAGTTATATTTTTTTATTTGAATATCTGTCAAATATATCAGATTTTATTATATAAAACTTTAAAATAGTTATTTGGTTATATATATATTTTTTAAAAAACTTTTATAGTTTGAATATTTCATAGGTGAAAATAATAGAAGGAGAATTAAATGATGAATTACTAAAAAATGTTGTAAAAGAAACTCAACAAAAAGATCATGGCTGTGACTGTTGTAATCAGCATACTAAAGAATTATTGACTGAAGTTCCTGTAGCAATTGCATGTCCTAGTGAGGTTTTTTCAGAGAGTAGTGTTCAAGAAAATGAAACAGTAATTGTTTTTATTAAATATTTGCATATAATTTTTTTTTTAATTCAATTATTATTAGGAAATTTTTTTAATTTTTTTTAGAAATCAGAAACACAACAATATGTAACATCTGATAAAATTATTAAAGAAACTGTTCAAGTTGAATATCAAGTTGACCATCATTTAGATGATCATAGCCATCATGCCAAAATGAAGCATCCATTGAATAAAGGCAATATATCAATTGCATGCCCCAGTGATTTGTTTTTAGAATATGAGATTATTGATAACAAAAAGGTAAAGTTAGTTTTATAATAAAACTCGAAGCGACTACTGCTGATTTAGGTCTGCACATTACTAATATGTTCTTCTTACTTTTTTTCAAATGTATACATACATATATAAGTAAATAAATAAATATATATATGAAGACCTCAGTGAAAAAACCGGCGTTGTCACATTTAAAAAGTTTTGAGAAAGTATTTATTGATTATTAAAAAAAGTCTTTATTTAAAGCAAAGAAGAAATAAAAACTTTATAAAAAATTATAAAAATTTTATTTTTGATTAAAATTTTAAATATTTTAATCAAAACATAATTTTTTTCTAAATATTTAGTTTCCTTCGTTTTAAATCAAGACTTATATTAATGATTTATAAATACTTTCTCAAAACTTTTTAAATGGGACAACCTTGGTTTTTCCACTGAGGTCATCATATATATATACATATATATATATATATATATATATATATATATATATATATATATATATATATATATATATATATATATATATATATATATATATATATATATATATATATATATATATATATATATATGTATATATATATATATATATATATATATATATATATATGTATATATATATATATATATATATATATATATATATATATATATATATATATATATATATATATATATATATATATATATATATGTATATATATATATAAGGGTGTCCTAAAAAAAAAATTTTTTTGCACGCATGTTTTTCCCATTCCTTTTTGTCTACTGAGTTCATATGTATGACTAAAATTATTTTTTTAGTTCAATTTCAGCTATATGTAAAATCTCAATTTCTTCATTTTTGATAAAATTTGACATTTTATAACACTATTTTAGTTACGGACCTAGTAATTTTACATTATTAATGCCCCTTGCCCTAGAGGATTTGGAAAACTAATGATTTTAGACTATATAAGAATCAGTCCATCTGACATTTTTTGTACAGAAGGTTCATTGAAGCCTGATTTACAAAAGGGTTGTCAGGCCTTGCGGTGAATAAGAACTGCGCGACGCATAAGCACAACGTGATTTTTGACGTCATTAAATTCTTTTTATTTGCTTTTTATATTTATCGACATTAACTGCACCAATTTACTTAATTACCGCAAAACTACTTTAAATCGTTTATGTAGAAATGTTATTATTAAAAAATGTTTTGGAATGTTTCGTTTTTTAAAATGTAAAAACATTTGTTTATTTTCTCGACGTTTGTCAGGTTTTGAAGGAATTTTATTTCTAGTAAAATAAAATAAAATGTTAGAATAAAAATCTTATAGGTATAAAAGAAATATTTCAGCGAAAAAATTATTCTTAAAAATTATTATTAAAAATTATTCGAAAAACTATTGACGTTTAATTTTTCAGCAGCTGTTCTTGAGCACGCTTCGTTGAGTTTCGGTAACTTTTAACATAAAAGCGATCGTTATTAAGTAATTTTTTTGAGTTACTTTTTACAAAAATTTTAATAACTGTACTTTTTTATTGAATCAAGTAGAATACGTTTTAATATTAATCCTTTTTTTTTTTTTATTTGCACTCACCAATTTTTAAAATGTTTCCTCGAAATTACTCTTAAATACTTTAAATACGTCTAACAATCTATAATAATTTTAAAACCTAACAAACCCCCGTAAAATAATTATTTAAGTTTAAAATCTAAAACTAAATGAAAGTATTTTATCGACAACTTTGCTATTGCTGAATAATTATATTAAAATGTTAGCTTAAAAGATTAAAACTTTTTTTTAATCTGAATTTTTTCTACTTGTAAATAATGAGCATATTTAATTTTTTTTAATTCAAACTTTTATTTCAAATGTGTGCGGTTTTTAAAATACTTTATTAAATGTTAAAATAATCGTGAATTGCTTCATTAAAATTCCGCTCAAAAATATCTTTAAATATACTCAAACAAAAAATTTTTTGCTTGGCGCAAATAGCCCTAGCTACACGCAAAATCGCTCTTGGACGACGTAAAATTCACATCGACGTAAATATCACATCAATATGATAGAGACAGCGGCATTCTTTACATCTGTCTGGTATGCACCTTGGTTTCTAAAGTCATATTTGGTCACAAAATCACCCTCAAATGATCTTGGCGCTTTCAAAAATCCATTTAGTATCAAAGATAAATATCTCAATCTTGGTTCAGCATTGGTTGCTAGTATGCAAAGACACAACTGGTACGCTTTATCGCAAGGCCTGGGTTGTTAATAATGACTACTTGAACAACATTTGTGTTTTCTGTATACTGTTTTGTTTTAACTGGTTTTTGTAATACATAAAATGACTGAGCGAAATAAAAAGCATGATAATTTAAACAATTAAAAAATACAAAAATTAATTTTTGTAGTTAGTTGGCTTTAACGTTTTTGGTTTGTTTTTGTCATATATATTTTTACTTTTAACTTTTCAATGTAATATACTTTTTTTTTTAATTAATAAAATGGCTGAGTTAGCATAACTTATGTTATGAGAATAGCTTAAAAAGCATAACTGAAAACTTCTGAGTTTAATATATAGATCATGCAAGGAGTGTACATACATTAACTAAATTTAATACATAAAACATGCAAGGAGTACTGCTACATTGACTGAGCTTTTAGTTTAGGCATGCAATCTATCAATTAAAAGAAACATTTTTTTTCAAGTTTTTTAACCTTTTCCAGTCTTCGATATCAAAAAACATAAAAAAAAAACATTTTTACAAAAACGTGTGTACATTTTATGTGAAAAATTAATAACAAGCAACCAATGATATATATATATATATGTGTGTGTGTGTGTGTGTGTGTGTGTGTGTGTGTGTGTGTGTGTGTGTGTGTGTGTATACCTTCAATAAATGTAGCAGCAACTCCTTTGCATGTTCTTCTTATATCAGTTGATGTATGTACTAAAGCCTTTTCAACTCCCTATATCAGTATAACGTCAGATTGCCAATCTAAATGTGTTTTTATATATGTATCTACTGAGTTAGATAGATATGTAGATTTTTTTTATCCAGGAAGAGAAAATCGAAACTGGAGAAAATCAAACTTTAGGCAACAATGTTGTTGTAGAAAAACAAAAAGAAGAACACTACAATGACCAAAATCATAATTATCCATTGACAGAAGACCCATCAACAGTCACCTGCAATAGTGAGCCATTTGCAAAAACTAATATAAAAGAAAACAAAACAGTAAAATTATTTTTTATTATTACATTTTTTAAAGTTTTTTTAATTTTTTTAATTTTTTGTTAATTATTTTGCAATTAGGAAAAAGTAATTGAAACAAAACCACATCAAGCTTCACTTAATAGTGTTGTAAATGAAACACAAAAAGAAGAACATCTTTATGAACAAAACCATGGTATTAAAATTAAGCATTTATCTGCAGGAGGCCCAGTTACCTGCACTAGTGAGGTGCTCTCAGAAATTGGCATTAAAAAAGACAAAACAGTAAAATTAATTTTTATCAATATATTTTAAAAAGCTGATTTTTTTTTTACATTATTTTAAATTTGTTTAAAATTGATTTATTAGGAAGAAATTGAAATCAATCAACATCAAGTGTCAGTTAACAATATTGTTAATGAAACAATTGAAAAAATAACAGACAATGACCATAAACAAAATATGGATATAGATCATTTTATAGCTGAAAAAACTATGAGAATTACATACACTGATATGTTTTCAGAATATGACATTATTGAAGACAAAACGGTATAAGTTAATTTTTATTAATAAGTTTTAAATGTTTCTTTGTTGAATATTATTTGTGTTTATGTATTTTATATTTAGGAGGAATCAATTGAAACAAATCAAAATGAAATACAGCAAAAACAACACAATGAAAATAAACATATTACATTGGCTGAAAATCTAATAGCAGTTACCTACAGAAGTGAAGTGTTTTTAGAAAGCAGTATGAAAGAAGACAAAACAGTAAAATTATTTTTCATCAATAACTTTTTTTTAAAGTTTCTTATTTCTTTATTATGTTTTCAATTATTTTTTTAAGTTGTTGTTACCATTTTCTTTCTCATGGTCAAGGGATGAGGCTATTCTTTTTCTTAAAATTATTGTTACAGTTCACCTTCTCATTGTTGAGGGAGCAGGCTACTCTTTTTTTTTCAAGTTGTTCTATAGCCCTCCACTTACTCTTTAACTCTGAAACACCTTGGCAAAGGCCCGGGCACAAGGCTGTTGCACAGTATTTGAAAGTAAGGCGCAAAAGAAACACCATAATAAATATTTCCAAAAGATTATGCACAGGTTATTGCATCTGTAGTTATTATTTTAAGAATAATGTAACTGGAATTCTCTGATTTGCTTTCATTTAATTGGCATCTCTCTCTCTTTCTCTCTCTCTCTCTCTCTCTCTCTCTCTATATATATATATATATATATATATATATATATATATATATATATATATATATATATATATATATATATATATATATATATATATATATATATATATATATATATATAGAGAGAGAGAGAGAGAGAGAGAGAGAGAGAGACATGATGCAGATGAAAAATTGTACTAATGGCTGCTATGATGATTAAAGTTTTGAATTGTGATGAAGGACTATCTGTAAAAAAGTGCAACCTACAAATATTTTGATAATGACATGATAATTATCTAATATTTATAAATCATAATAATGCATATTTATATAACTTGAAGAAAGTGATTGCAAATAATGGCATAGAATAATTTGTTGCATTTACTTCAAGTTACAGCAGTAAGTACTGTTAGTTACTAATGGACTCAATAAGCAGATTGAAGTTCACTTTGCTCCATCATAGGGTGGATTTTACTGAAATCCATTTGATTTTAGATGAATTAAAAATAGAAATGTACAAACACTTTTTTTTATAAATATTTCAAAAAGGTTAATTCAAAACTATTGAGTACTGTTATCTTATTTTAACTCAAACTATAGATTTTCTGATTTGTATAGTCAATACATTCTTTGATACATTTTAGTGAAAGAAATGAAAATATGCACTTTGCTGTTGGCTTATATATACAGGCACATATACCCTGTGAATTGCAGGCACAGTCATATAAAGCCATATAACAAGGTGGTTAGTGGTTATTAAATTTTTTTTTATTTTATTTTCTGAGGACTCTGACTCAACAATAAAGTTATTATCACTAAATGATTCTTTAATGTTTTCAAACTTAACACATTCACATTTAGTTTCAACATAAACAGGCATGATTGACAATATTGTTAACATACTGGTGTCTGTCAACTATATGAGACAGCATTACATTTTTTATTATGGCATTGGTTAACAGCCTGAAATTTTCCTGTTATATACAAAAAACAAACACTGTGGAGGATTTTGTTCATTAGCTTGACGTAAAATAGGCAGAGATCATAAAATTTAAATTTTCTTGCTTTTAAACTTGAATACTCACTTTTAATTACTAAATATGCTACTTGGAATATTAACAGCATGTGACAAATTCATTTCAAAATAAAAACAAAGTTTTTAATAATTCAAAACATCATTAAAATTGCTATATATAATACGATATATAGCAGTTTTTTTAAATAAAGTTTTTAGTTTTTATAAAAAATTTTGTTTTATATTAAAAAAATTCAATAAGGTAACCTTATCTTTTAGTTTCTTATTACTTGCAACATCTTTTTATTTTTATCTGTAATATATTTAGAAAGCCATTATTGAACACCTCAATTTATTTTTATCTATAATAAATTTAGGAAGACAAAATTGAATCTGTAAAAAATCAATCATTAGTTGATATTAAAGAGATACAACAAGAAGAAGAGCATGATGAACATAAACATGATACAGAAATTAAAAATGCTTTGAAAGAAGAACTATTGGTAGTTGCTAGCACTAGTGAGGTGTTTTCAGAAAACAAAATTGACAGCGAAACAGTAAAGTTTCCGTTTGTTGATTAATTTTTAAAAAAGTTTTTATTATAACATATTAGTTTTCATTAATTTCTAATATTACACATAAATTTAGTTTTTTTTTATTTTTATTAAATTTAGGAAGACAATATTGAATCTGAAAAAGATGACTCATCTGTTGATAATAGTGTTAAAGAAACACAACAAGAAAAAGGACATGATGAGCATAAACATACAGAAGTTGTAAATATTTTGAAAGAAGAACCAGTGGTAGTTGTTAGCACTAGTGAAGTGTTTACAGAAAGCTACATTGACAACAAAACAGTAAAGTTTTGCTTTGTTGATTTATTTTTCGAATTACTTCTGTTTCATAATATTAATTTACATTGAGTTTTAATATTATATTAAATTCAAAATTTATTTTTATCTATATTAAATTTAGGAATACAATATTGAATCTGAAAAAGATGACTCATCTGTTGATAATAGTGTTAAAGAAACACAACAAGAAGAAGGACACAATGAACGTAAACATACAGAAGTTGTAAATATTTTGAAAGAAGAACCAGTGGTAGTTGCTAGCACTAGTGAGGTGTTTACAGAATGCTACATTGACAGCAAAACAGTAAAGTTTCTGTTTGTTAAACAAATTTTAAAATAGTTTTTATTTTTATTATATTAGTTTTTAGTTATTTCAAATATTATATATAAATTTAAAGTTTTTTAATCTTTATATTTAATCTTTATTAAATTTAGGAAGACAATATTGAATCTGAAAAAGATGACTTATTTGTTAATATCAGTGTTAAAGAAACACAACAAGAAAAGGGACATGATGAACATAAACATACAGATATTGTAAATAATTTGAAAGAAGAACCAGTGGTAGTTGCTAGCACTAGTGAGGTGTTTACAGAGAGTTACATTGACAACAAAACAGTAAAGTTTTCCTTTTTTGATTGATTTTGCGAATTATTTCTGTTTCATGTTAATTTACATCAAGTTTTAATATTATATTACATTCAAAGTTTATTTTTATCTTCATTAAATTTAGGAATACAATATTGAATCTGAAAAAGGTGACTCATCTGTTGATAATAGTGTTAAAGAAACACAACAAGAAGAAGGACACGATGAGCATAAACATGTTGAAATTGTGAATATTTTGAAAGAAGAACCAGTGGTAGTTGCTAGCACTAGTGAGGTGTTTTCAGAAAACAAAATTAATGACGAAACAGTAAAGTTTCCGTTTGTTGAATAATTTTTAAAATAGTTTTTATTGTTATTATTGATATTTATTATATTACATTCAAAGTTTATTTTTATCTTCATTAAATTTAGGAATACAATATTGAATCTGAAAAAGGTGACTCATCTGTTGATAATAGTGTTAAAATAACACTACAAGAAGAAGGACACGATGAACGTAAACATACAGAAATTGTGAATATTTTGAAAGAAGAACCAGTGGTAGTTGCTAGCACTAGTGAGGTGTTTTCAGAAAGCTACATTAACAGCATAACAGTAAAGTTTCCTTTTGTTGATTGATTATTAGAATTATTTCTGTTTCATTATATTAATATACATAATAAGTTTTAATATTATATTAAATTCAAAATTTATTTTTATATTTAATAAATTTAGGAATACAATATTGAATCTGAAAAAGATGACTCATCTGTTAATAATAGTGTTAAAGAAACGCGACAAGAAGAAGGGCATGATGAACATAAAAATGGTAGAGAAATTGAATATTCATTAAAAGAAGAGCCGATGGTGGTTGTTAGCACAAGTGAAATGTTTTTAGAAAGCAACATTGACAACAAAGCAGTAAAGTTTTCCTTTGTTGATTGATTTTGAAAATTATTTCTGTTTTCATGATTTTATTTTACATCAGGGCAGGGTTGAAAAGTTTTTGTCACAGAAGGATGTGGATACATTAAATTGTAAATTAAAAAAACAAACAAAAAATAAGCATTAATGGTTCTGATAATATTCTAGATACTACCTCTAAAACAATAAGAATTGATAATATTCTAGAAACTACCTCTAAAACAGTAGTAATTGGGACTAAAGACATTACTTGTAGAGTTTTTTGTTATAGGCCTTCAAAACATGTCATAAAAGAAACAGCAGGCTGTAAAATCAAGTTTCTACTTAGGTGTTAAATTCTTTTAAACTTAATAGAGACATAGCAAAAATTTTGTTCATCTATGTTTAAAAAATTTTAAACATACACAAATAAAATTTTTATAGGTTTCATAGATTTTTTCATTAATATCAATAACTTTCTTTTTCTCCTTCTGTCTTTCCATTCTTTTTTTTCCATATCAATGATTTAAAAAGATCTAATGTTTTTATAAAGGTGCTGTTTAAGTTTATGTCAAATTGAATCCAAGTTTCACATTTAGATTTATTTTTCTAATATTGTGAACCTTTAAAGTTTTATGAGTGTAGATGCTACCATTTAAATCTGGGAACTTAATGAGAACTCTTCTGTATCACTTTAATGATCACTTTAATGTTACACAGCCAATCAGCTTCTTCAAAAAACTGTTTAGCGATTTCAATAACAACTTTAGATGACAAAACTCCCCTTGGAATTGATGGAATTATTAAAAACTTGGTTTTTAATAATCCCATCAATTCCATCATGGGGCCCTTTAAAGAAATATGCCTCGTCCTTTAAAGAAATATGCCTCACCATATTTCCAAGTCAATGTAATATTTTCAAGATAATAAGAGAAGGATATAAAGACAAATTGAGACCTGAACTGACTTGCACATCTATCACTCCAGAAACGGTAAGTGGAAACTGATGGAGCTATACCCTTGACAATGCTAATAAGCGGGTTGTTGTTTGTAAATGCAACATTGCGATCATGCTTTGTTTCATATGATATATTTCATATGGTTGCTACTGGAAACTTCACCAAATTATAACTTTTATCAAGTTTACCATTCTGAACTCTAATACTTTCATGAAAGTAACAAGTTGCTGTGAATATGGTAAAAAATTCATGCCCAAAATAAGCACTATGGATCTTGTAGAGTTGTTTCTTTTTGTCGTTCTAGGAAAAAAAGTTCCACAAGATCCAGTGATTCACTTGGCAAATTTCCAATAATTCCATTTTTTTCTTCTTTAATAAAATATTTTTTTATTGATTATAGCAAATGTTGATCATTTACATCAACAATCATCTTCTAGTGTTTTACTTAACATAATCAAGTTATTTTCAGCGTTGATAAGTGATTTTAACGTCATTGTCATTGTTAAATAAGTAAACAAGCTTCCTGTGTGTAAAAACCATGTTTTGAACGGTAGACTTTGACACTTTCAAATTTCTCTCAGTAAACAGTATTTTTCCTGCCTAAAACAATAGCTTATATATCTGGTTGTTCATTGTAAAAGTTATGCAATGGCCTGCCAGTTTTGAAAGACAGCTTTCTTCTAGAATTAATGTTTTTTCTCTTGGTAACAAGCTTTACACAAGAGCAGGTAAGACTTTATCTTAAAGATAAAGTTTTACCTGCTCGGCATTGCCTGTTTTTATTTGGCTATTTAGCGATAAACAACTTGATTATTTGTTCAATCTTTGTGCACTAAATCCATCTGAAAATAAGACAATGCTTATTCAAAGAGACAAAATGAGTAAAAATAAACATATAAGTTAATAAAATACATAAGAAATTAAAATTAGTCATTTAACAAATAACATACATAAAATGAAATAAATGGCATAGTTTTACAATAAAAGCAAAAATATTTTCAATTAAAAAGTGCTAGTTACAGACAAAATAATATCTTAATGTTATTAACTGTTTCTTTTTTAAATTTCTTTCCAGCCTTTTTTTCTTCTCTTTTTTCAATTTGAACTCATATTCTTTTGTGTTCTTCTTCAAAAGTTGAAAACTCTGTCCTCTTTCACTCTTTTTCTTTAAAGATATTTTTCATTTTTAGTTTCCATTCCTAACAGATGTCGTTTTCCAGCAGGCTGGTAAACAAGACTCTGATAAGCACTTGTTAAATAGTTTTGAAAGTATAGATGACAGCTCTGAAGAACACTTCTGCAAGATTATAACAGGTATGTTGTCCCGAGCAACAGGTATGTTGTCCCGAGCTGTAGAATAGTTGCAGTATATGACATGATAAAGAAATGCAGAAGCATCTGCAGTTATTTTAACCATTCGAATTTGGCTTGCACCAAATTAAAAAAATACAGAAAGATTTGATTCACAAATCTCAACACCTTTATTACCAATCCAAGATGTCCCGATAAGATGGAATAGTGCATATTTAATGTTAGATCGAATTGAAACTCTCAAAAGATCTATACAACTTTACACAACAGACCATCCTCGTTTAGTAAATTTAATATCAACTTCAAGTGAATGGGAGTTAATAGAAAATGTATTGGGACTTTTACAACCATTTTTTATGATTACTGATACAGTCAGTAAATCAAAATCAATGCTGTCATCAGTAATTAGCCATATTCGAGCATTACATAATTTTCTTGGAAGTCTTGCAGATGATTCTAGAGTCCAATCAAGAAGAAGATGAGACTATTGAAAAAAGATTATAGCAAGAAAACTTCTGTCAGTTCTTCCACAAGCTGGAAATCACTTTAGATACAGAAGCTGGAATGATACAAATGTCAAGCAATTGCTCAAACTGTTTATTGGTTATATCACACTATATCATGAAATATGAAATATTGGTTATATCATGAAATACGAGATTTTGTAACCTGAAAATAGTAGGTCTTGGCATTAGACAAAATCATTTTTTTAACCATGGTTTGTAGCAATAGTAAACAGACTTCTCTTTTCTAAAGAATTATTTTGATGATAGATATGGAAGTAATGGTTAAGATTGGAAATTGCAGCAGCACAATTAGAGGAAAACTATGGAGAAGAGTAAGGCTTGACTTTTGACAAGAGGGAATAAAAGATTCCATGCCAGCCTGAATTCAAAATTTTATATAAGAAACAAATTTGGGATTCTGATGATGAAAAAGAATGAGATAATAGTTTTGGGATCGTTCATAAAGTACATATGCTCAGAGGGGAAGAGGGGGTCTGCAAATGGCGTATATGAGATGAGAGGGCAGTGGGTCAATTATAAAAGAAAGGAGACACTAACTTAAGAAAAATATCCTAAAATGTTAGATATATAGGTTAAAAGCGTAGTTACATTTAGGGAGGTGGAGGGTACTCAAAAAAGCGGATTGCAAAATGTGGGGGAGGGGGGGTGAGTTAGACAAAAAAAAAAGCTTACGTACTTTATGGACGACCCTTTTAGAGAGATCAAACAGTTATCAGAAGAGCCTAAGGGTGAATGTGAAAAAACTGAGCACTGAGTAGGATTAGAGACAAGACACAAGTCAAGTAGAGAAGGTAAATGATTCGTATTGTCTGGCAACTTGGAAAATTGACTATTTGTGTTAAATATTAAAAAAGAAAGAGCCAAGCAATTTAGTGTGGTGAGCATTAAGTCACCAACAACAACAACATTAACTGAAAGATAAAGAGAAAGGGTGTAGCCAATCAAAAATAACATTAAAAAAGTGTAGTCTTGAGATAAAGGAGAGCAGTATAGATCAAAAAGGTGATAGAGTGAAGTTGTGCTAAATGAAAGCACATAAATGAATAGTCAGTGTATTTAAACATAGTTTCCTGAAAAATTGGTGAATTCATACAAATGTAAATCCCCAGGTGACTATTGGAATCTTTATGAATTAAAGAAAAACATGGCGCGACAAATCGACAAACATGGGAATGTTTGTTAAAAAAAACAACAGAGAAATGTACGTTACATTTTCTTACTTTTACTTAAGTACACATTGGCGTTCGCTTAAAATTTTTAAAAACAAACGCCAAACTTCAGCATTTTTTTTTTTCCAAATAATTAGGCACTTGATAGTTTTTTATTTATTATAAAAAAAACATATTTATTATAAAAAAACAATAACTTACTAAAATTTAAAGCGCATTTTCAACGACTCCAAAAGAAACCATGTTAATACTTTTCTCAATAGCGTTACTTTTAAGTTTAATAAAGTACACTTTTAAATTTAATAAAGTACACAACTAAAGAAAGTATTTATGTTTTAGTATGGTTTTTACATGCGTTTACAAAAAGAATGGGAAATTTTAGTTAAAATGAATGCATCATTGGTATATATAATTATTATATATCTTTTTAACTAGAGTAAAAGTTATTTGAAAATAAAACTCCATTATAATTTGACAAAAAATTATTTAAATTATATAAAAAAAAAAATTGGAAAGAATTGAGAATAAAACTGACTTATTCATGGCCGACGACACGGGTTTTCAAGTGGAACCATCTATTTCTAAAACAAGTCCTCTATATCTAGAATTTCTGTTTAAAAAATAAATAAATAAAGGAGCCTTTAGAAAAAAAAAAGTGGGGGAGGGGAGGGGGACATACCCCCCATCCTCCCCTTGTTGTTCGCCCTGTTATTTGACATACCTCTTAAATTAGACGTTCGTCAATAAATAAAGAAAATAACGTCAACATTAATTTTAAAAAAGCAATTTTTCGCGCCCTGAAAGATTACCATCAACACTAAGATCACATGATGAGACAGCTGAACTGAAATTAGTCTCACAAAGAACAAGTAGGTTTGGTGAACATTGCAAGAGATAAGACTCAACAGAAGAAAAGTTACTTCAAAGACCACAAATATTAGTGAATTATAGATTTAGAAAACTTAATAATAACTACGGTTTTTTGTGTTTAATAGTTTTTGGTACTTTTTTACTCATTTTTGGATTGGTTAAACAACATGACTTAAAGTACAGATAGTACTCAGTACGCTATTTAATATTCCAAGCAATTGCCTCATTACAATTAATAAACCCTATGCCGTAACAAAGAGCTCCATGCTACATGACACCATGTGCAACATGGTACTGTTAGTACTCTGATACTTTACAACTGTTGATGGAATCAGCCTCTATGAGAGCTTCCACAGAGTTTGGGATTATATTTATATAGAACAAGGCAGTAAGAAATATATTATTACTTATAAATCGTAATTTAAAAAAAGATTACACCTATATCTTTTCTAATTAATTCGAACTCAACTTACCATTATAAGAGAATATTACATTAATTTCTAGAGCTATGTTCAAAATAGTGAAACTGTGAAAGACTGTTATTGCAAAGGCAATAAACTGTAATGCAATATAGCAAAAGCATAATAATTAACAGTGCAAGTGCTTTGCAAGTGTGACCAAAAGTTATTCTTGCCTTAATTTGGACTAATTAAACTTTTTTTAAACCATAAAAATTCAAACCTTAAACCATAAAAATGGTAGTTTATATAAAGCAGTATTACTATTTTTGATTATTTATTGAATTAAATAAACTTCTTTGGACCTAAAAGTTTATCCATTCCACCTCTGAATTTATTGTTTTGTATTTTTATTTATTGTCTATTATATATTGGACTGAGAAGATGACTAGGGTACAATGATTCTGGATTATTTCATTTAAACACAAAAAAAAAAAAAAAAATCCCATTTATTATACAAATGGTCAACATAATAAATTTTAAATAATCAAAACTTACAAAATTAAAACCATATTTTAACAGCAGACCAAGTAAACTAAAGATAGTTGGTAGAACACCAAGGTAGAACTAAAGAAATAAAATAACAATAGTAAAAAAGTAAACATGTTTGTCTTACATACTCTTTGTTGTTAAAAAAAAAATGTATATATATATATATATATATCAGGCTTGGTCGGGAAGCGGGTGTGATCGCACTCGATAACTGACCATGGAAATAATATGTATATATATATATATATATATATATATATATATATATATATATACAGACATACATATATATATGTATATATATATATATATATATATATATATATATATATATATATATATATATATATATATATATATATATATATATATATATATTACATGGAAATATACATAAACTTGAATGTTCTCAAACATCGTAGTGCGGAAAAATAAAAAAAGAATATTTGCGAACACAAAAAACCCGCCAAATCTACGAACAACTAATTCTATTGGTTCAAAAAATACCAACCGAAATTTCTATTCAAAAAATATTCAACAAATACTAAGCGAATGTCCTGTGAAATATTTTAAAAACTTGTATTATTTGAATTTTGTTATGTTTTTTTTGAGATTTCTAGCACAAATTATTTTAAGAATATATTATCAAACGAACTATTATTTTAATTCTTGGAGCCACATCTACAAAGCTATAAATGATTTTAAACTAACATTATTTGTTTACTATAATAAATGTTTTAAATTTATATTTTTTAACTTGTCAACATTTTGTAAATATATTATAGATTTTATTAGTATATTCTTATTTTTTATGTATAAGGGATGTATTTTTTATGTATGTAATGTATTTTTTATTAGTGCCGGATCAAGGGGGATTAGGGTGGGGCTAGGGGGACTATAGCCCCGGGCCCCGCAAATTTAGGGGCTCCAAAAAATTCTAGAGGATACTTTTTTTTTTTTTTTTGTAGTCATTTTTAGGCTCTGGCCCATAAAAAGGCCTCCAAAAACAAAAATAGTCCCGGGCCCCAAGAAGTCTTAATCCGCCACTGATTTTTATGTATGTAATGTATTTTTATGTATGTAATTTTATGTATGTGTATTTTATTCAAATGTAATCTTTTAAAAAAATTTGTGCGATTGATTTTGTAAACAAAAATACTTTCAATAATAATTGCGTTTTCAATGAAATTATTAATAATCATCAAATTTAATACATATAATTTTAACCACTAATCCATTTTCCACAGTGTACCCAATAACTGATTCTTTCCCCCAAGAAAGAAAAGTTTTTAAGTTCTTAGAAATTGGTTTACTAACTTCAATTATTTTTGCTTCAGCCATTCTTATAAACTGGCTATACTTAAAGTTATTTTTTTCTGTTTCAAATACTAATTAAAATTATAATGCCTACTCACTAAACATCATCAGCGGTATTGTGAAGCAGTTCTGCTTCCTCCTCACAAAGTAATTTAATGTCTTTAGTTCATTTCTATCTAGCTAATTGAATTTCTACAGTAACTCAATGATTTAATTATTTCATTTGTTCATCTTAATAAGAGCAATTGTTTCAAATGTGTTAAACTTTTTAAACTATGCGAAGCATAAAACAGTTATTGAAAAAACTTTTTTATTTATGAATAAATCATCTAGCGTTAGTTTTATTGGTTGAACCTTGTTGGACTTTTCAGGGCTGGGGGCTGCATTATTTTGGCGGCCTTTTTTATGTGCCACAGCGTAAAAATGACTAAAAAAAATACCGAATGGTCCTCTTGACTATTTCCCTAACATTGTGAGTCCCAGGGTTAAAGCCCTACTAACCCCACCCCACCTCCTCAATCCAGCACTGGAAATAAGACATAAGTATATAATTAAAAATTATATATACTCTTTGATAAATCGAAAAACATTTGTTTCTTTATAGTTGTTACTTTATACAAAAAATGTCGCCTAATTTTACAAAAAAATTATAAAAGAGCGACGTTTCAAAAATAATTGCTCGAATAAATTTATTTTGTCTAAAGTTTTTTTCGCGTTAAAAGCTATTTTTCTTTTTTTAACTGTCTCTCATTGGTCCAGTTAATCATATTGCGCTTTTTTGTTTGTTTTTGAAATGAATTGACTAAAAAATCTGGCCTGTTTTTCACAACTAAATATTATTTCTGTGGTCAATTATCGAGTGCGATCGCACCCGCTTCCCGACCAAGCTTGATATATATATATATATATATATATATATATATATATATATATATATATATATATATATATATATATATATATATATATATATATATATATATATATATATATATATATATATATATATATATATATATATATATATATATATATATATATATATATATATATATATACGGGGCCTATTTCAGGAAAAAAATTTGGACAGCAGTTCCCCATGTTCTGGCAAACTTTAGCAGAAAATTCGGCGTTTTTTTCGTGAAAAAAACAGTATTCGCTGTAAAAACGTAATAGTAAAAAAAAAAGTACTGTAAAATTTTAATTTGGGCGGCGCCCAAATTTGGTTGACGCTATTTTTATATATATATATATATATATATATATATATATATATATATATATATATATATATATATATATATATATATATATATATATATATATATATATATATATATATATATATATATATATATATATATATATATATATATATATAAAATAAAATATCTAAACTTTAAGAACTAAGAATCTTAGCTGTATAAGTTACTGGCTCATTACAAGATTCATTACTGATTCCACTTAACTAAAAATGGAAATAAAGGCTTGATATAGTTCAAAAACTCACCAAAGTAATAGTTGATGAAAAAAAAAATCAAATTAGTGATGCGTAATTTCATGTCAATTGACCCAGAAACAGTTGCGAGTACATAGTAAACTAAAAATTCCTTGAAATTTTTAGCCTCCAGGTCCAAGGATATCCTGAAATATGACCATTTTACTTTTTGCAGATATTGGCCAGGACCCTCTTGTCCTCTCAGAATCACCATGTTTATATAGAGGTTTCAAATTACATAACTTTAAAAATATACACATTTTTTTTATATTTAAAAATTTGTATCAGGCTATTTTCAGGGGTGATGATCCAATAAAATATTAAGGTCCAATTGAATAAATTTAGGCAATTTTTTGTATCCCTATTTTTACTGCTCAAGAAACCCATGCCACCTTGATGATATTAAAAGAAAAATATTTCACATCATTCCATATTAATTCATTTTTCAGAAAATATAAAAATTAAGACCATATGAATATGGATATCCATATATGGATAATGAGGCATAGTCCCCTTTTTTTTGTAGCAGAATATTGCGATTGATTTATTACTACCTTCCAGACTAGCTAAAGCTCTAAAACTTTTGACATTAATGTAGTGCCCATGAGCATGCCCATGAACATGCATTTTAAAGTTTTATCCAGGGCTCAAGACACCAAGGGGAAAGGGGCAGGTGCAGGGTCCCTCTTTTTTGGTAGTGGAATCTTATTATAGATTTTTCATTACTTTTCAGACTAACTGGAGCCCTGAAACTCCAGCATTTGTGTAGTACTAATGATTGTGTGTTAAAATTATTTCCAGAGCAGATGATAGGAGGGTCTATGGGGCTGGTGCATTGGGGATCATGTCCTTCTTATTTTCTTTAAAAAAAATTTTTTTTTCCTTATTTTAAGAATGGATTTTTTTTGGAGAAAATAAGTAAGGTATAGCTCTCAGTGCCCCTGCCCCATGGACCCTCTGGTCGCCTGCCCTGAAAACAACTTTAACACACATTCATTAGGATTATATAATGCTGAAAGTTACAAGACTTTGTAAAATTCATAAAAACCTGTAAACCTTTAATTATTACCTGATAATAACACTGTACTTAACAATTAGATTCAAATAAAACATAATCAAACATTAAATTTTTTTTTAATTATATTATTTTTCATCAAATTTTAATATTATATTAAATTTAAACTTTTTTTTCACCCATATTAAATTTAGCAAGACAATATTAAATCTGAAAAAGATCAATTATCAGTTGATAATAATGTTAAAGAAACACAACAAAAAGAACGCCATGAGCATAAATATGATACAGAAACTAAAAATATTTTGAAAGAAGAACTAGTGGTAGTTACTAGCACTAGTGAGGTGTTTTCAGAAAGCAACATTGAAGTCAAAATAGTAAAGTTTTTTTTTGTTAATTGATTTTCAAATTAGTTAGTACCTTTGTTTTGTTATTTTTCTTTAATTTTTAACTTTATGCATAAGTTCAAGCTTGTTTTTTATCTAACTTAAATTAGGAAGACAATATTGAATCTGGAAAAGATCAATCATCAGTTGGTATTAATATTAAAGAAACACAACAAAAAGAAAAACATAATGAACTGAAACATGATACAGAAATTGAAGAACCAGTGGTAGTTGCTAGCTCAACTGAAGTGTTTTCAGAAAGCAACATTGATGACAAAACAGTAAAGTTTCCTTTTGTTATTTGGTTTTGCCAATTGATTTAGTTTCTTTATATTATAATTATCATGTTTTCATTCTATATTAAATTTAAACCTTTTTTTTTATTGATATTAAGTATAGGAAGACATTTTTTTATCCATATTAAATATAGGAATCTGAAAAGAGTCATTTAATGATTAATTTTTTCCAATTGTTTTTGTTTTTATTATTTTATTTTGAATCATGTTTTTATTCCATACTAAATTTAAACATTTTGTTAATCCATACTAAATATAGGAATCTGAAAAAGATCAATTAACAGTTGATAATAATGTTAAAGAAACACAACAAGAAGAACGGCATGAGCATAAACATGATACAGAAATTAAAAATACTTTGAGAGAAGAACCAGTGGTGGTTACTAGCACTAGTGAGGTGTTTTCAGAAAGCAACATTGAAGTCAAAATAGTAAAGTTTCTTTTTGTTAATTGATTTTCAAAATAGTTAGTACTTTTATTTTGTTATTTTTCTTTAATTTTTAATATTATACATAGGTAAAAACTTTTTTTTTATCTAATTTAAATTTAGGAAGACAATATTGAATCTGAAAAAGATCAATCATCAGTTGATATTAATGTTAAAGAAATAAAACAAGAAGAACAGCATGATGAACTGAAATATAATACAGAAATCAATAGAACTTTAAAAGAAGAACCAGTGGTAATTGCTAGGGCAAAAGAAATGTTTTCAGAAAGCAAAATTGAGGACAAAACAGTAAAGTTTCCTTTTGTTAATTGAATTTTGAATTTTTTTTTAATATGTTGTTTTTCATTAAGTTTTAATATAATATGAAATTTAAAATTTTTTTACATCCCTATTAAATTTTATTTAATTAATTAACTTATTTAAGTAATTTAAAATTAATTTTAAATTTAGAAAGACATTATTGAATCTGAAAAAAATCAATCATCAGTTGATAATCATGTTAAAGAAAGACAGTATAAAGAACAGCATGCTGAATATAAACAAAATACAGAAATTGAAAATACTTTGAGAAAAGATGCAGTGGTGTTTGCAAGCTCTAGTGAAGTGTTTCCAGAAAACAACATTGCTGACAAAACAGTGAAGATTCCTTTTGTTGATTGATTTTTCCAATTTTTTTGTATTTTCATCATGTTATTTTTTATCATGTTCTTATTCTATATTAAATTAAAACTTTTTTTTTTATTCATTTAAATATAGGGTTCTGAAAAAGATCAATCATTAATTGATATTAATGTTAAAGAATCTCAACAAGAAGAAGGACATGATGAACTTAAATATGATACAGAAATCAAAAATACTTTAAAAGAAGAACCAGTGGTAGTTATTTGCGCCAGTGAAGTGTTTTCTGAAAGCAATATTGAGGACAAAACAGTAAAGTTTCCTTTTTTTAATTGAATTTTTGAATTTATTTTTTTAATGTAATTTTTCATCAAGTTTTAATATTATTTTAAACTCAAACTTTTTTTCATTCATATCTAATTTAGGAAGACAATATTAAATCTGGAAAAGATCAATCAGCAGTTGATAATAATGTTAAAGAAACACAACAAGAAGAACATCATGATGAACATAAACATGTTACAGAAATAGAAAAAACCTTAAAAGAAGAACCAGTGGTGGTTGCTAGCACTTATGAGGTGTTTCTAGATAGCAACAATGAAGACAAAACAGTGAACTATCTTTTTATTGATTTATTTTTCAAATTATTTATATTTTTATTATGTCATTTTTCATCGTGTTTTTATTTTACATTAAATTGAAACTTTTTTTGCATCTATATTAAATATAGGAAGGCATTTTGTTGTTCATATTAAATATAGGAATCTGGAAACGACCAATCATCAGTTGATAATAATGTTAAAAAAACACAACAAGAAGAAGAGCATGATGAACATAAACATGTTACAGAAATACAACAAGAAGAACAGCATGATGAGCATCATAAAGAACAGCATGAGAAACATACTCATGGTACAGAAATAGAAAATAAGTTGAAAGAAAAATCATTGGTAGTTGCTAGCGCTGTTGAGGTTTTTTCAGAAAACAATATTCGGGACAAAACCGTAAAGTTTTCTTTTTTTAGTTTAATTTTCAATTTTTTTTTATATGTTATTTTTCTTTATGTTTTTTAATCCACATTACATTTAGGAAGACATTATTGAATTTGAAAAAGATCTATCATCAGTTGACATTAATGTTAAAGAAACACAACCAGAAGAACAATATGATGAACATAAACATGATACAGAGATCAAAAATACATTAAAAGAAGAACCAGTGGTTGTTGCTAGCACTAGTCAGGTATTTTAAGTAAACATCACTGACTATAATTGATTGTAATATAATTGATATATATATGTATATATAATATATATATATATATATATATATATATATATATATATATATATATATATATATATATATATATATATATATATATATATATATATATATATATATATATATATATATATATATATATAATGACTATAATTGATTATAATAGTTGATTGGTTTTTTTAAATATGTTTTTTTTTTGGTCAATCATATTATAAATTGAACACAACTTACATAAAAGTCATCTAATTTTAAAAATTATATCAAGTTTCATTCAACATTCACCAAATTCACTAGATTTGCTTGCTCTTTGTGAGACTAATTTAAATTCAGCTGTTTCCTCTTCAGATCTCCATGTTGATGGGTACTATCATTTGATTTGCAAAGAGCTCAATAGTCACATGCTTGACATGGGGGTTTACTTATACATCAATTCACCTATTTGTCAAGAAATCTGGTTTGAATCCTCTGACCATTCTTTTATGTGACCATTCTTTATGCTTTTAGTTCTTTATACTATAACCTTTCTCTTTTTTTTCTATCGTTCTCGTTCTTCCGCTCTTGTTCTTCTACTCTTTTAGATGTAGTTTTTGCTCAAATTGATTGTGCCCTTTTTCTTTTCTCTTTGCCAATATTGTTAGTATTGGTAATTTAATGCTCATCACACTGATGAGCATTAAGTTATCAATGCAATGATCTTTATAACTTTTTCATATTGTTTTTCTTCTTCCGACTCTAATTCTTCCTATAATTCCTATAATTCTTCCGACCTAATTTTCCGATCCTAAATTTCCTATAATTCTTCCGTCTTCACTACTTACTATTACCTAATTAAAATAAGACAAAAAAAAAAAAAATGTTTTCACTGATTTCTATTGGAATCTTTTGCTATATTTTTAATGATTCTGTGGGTTTATTAAAGAAAATGGTCAAATAAACTTGAGGGAAGCAAAGGAACCTACGTTTTTTACGACAAAACTTTTTTTTCTGTATAATAACTTTTTTTTGTATAATAAAATTGAAAAAAAAGACAATTGCGTCAAAAAAACAGGTTGCTACTGATTTCTATTGAAATCTTTTGCTATATTTTTAATAATTCTGTGGGTTTAGTAAATAAAATGGTAAAACCTGGGGGAAGCACAGGAACTTATGTTTTTACAACAAAACCCCTTTTTTTGTTCAATAACTTACTTAAAAGTAAAAAATATAAGTTCTATTCTTGGTCTTCAAAAATATTCAAGTAAGAAATTAGTAAAGAAATAGTTATTATTGAATAGACTAACCAAAAACTGTAATTTACAGGTCTAGACAGTTTTTAATATTATATTAAATACAACCTTTTATATTTTATCTATACTAACATCAGGAAGATATTACTGAATCTGAAAAAAATCAATCAGATGGTATTATTATCAAAAAAACACAACAAGAAGAACATGATGAACTTGAACATGATACAGAAATCGATAATACTTCTAAAGATGAACATGTAGTGGTTGCTAGCACTAATGAGGTATTTTCAGAAAACAACATTGATGATAAAGCTGTATAGTTTCCTTTTCGCTGATTGATGTTTTTAATTATTTTTCTTTCCATAATGTTACTTTTCATCATGCTTTTATTCTATATTAAATTTAAACTTTATTTTTATCTATATTAACTATAGGAATCTGCAAAAGATCAATTATCAATTAATATTAATGTTAAAGAAACGCAAAAAGAAGAAAGACATGATGAACTGAAACCTGATAGAAAAATCGAAAATACTTTGAAAGAAGAACCAGTGGTAGTTGCTAGCACAAGTGAAGTGTTTTCAGGAAGCAATATTGATAAAAAAACAGTAAAAATTCCTTTTGTTGTTTGTTTTTGCTAATTGATTTTTTTTCTTTATATCATAATTATCATGTTTTCATTCTATATTAAAATTAAACCTTTTTTTTTATTGATATTAAGTATAGGAAGACATTTTTTTATCGATATTAAATATAGGAATCTGAAAAAGATCAATTATCAGTTGATAACAATGTCAAAGAAATACAACAAGAAGAACATCATAATAAGCATAAACATGATACTGAAATCGAGAATACATTAAAAGAAGAACCATTGGTAGTTGCTAGCTCAACTGAAGTGTTTTCAGAAAGCAACATTGATGACAAAACAGTAAAGTTTCCTTTTGTTGTTTGTTTTTGCTAATTGATTTTTTTTCTTTATATCATAATTATCATGTTTTCATTCTATATTAAAATTAAACTTTTTTTTTTATTGATATTAAGTATAGGAAGACATTTTTTTATCGATATTAAATATAGGAATTTGAAAAAGATCAATTATCAATTGATAACAATGTCAAAGAAATACAACAAGAAGAACATCATGATGAGCATAAACATGATACTGAAATTGAGAATACATTAAAAGAAGAACCATTGGTAGTTGCTAGCTCAACTGAAGTGTTTTCAGAAAGCAACATTGATGACAAAACAGTAAAGTTTCCTTTTGTTGTTTGTTTTTTCCAATTGATTTTTTTCTTTATATTATAATTATCATGTTTTCATTCTATATTAAAATTAAACCTTTTATTGATATTAAGTATAGGACGACATTTTTTTATCCATATTAAATATAGGAATCTGAAAAAGATCAATTATCAGTTGATAACAATGTTAAAGAAATACAACAAGAAGAACATCATGATGAGCATAAACATAATACTGAAATCGAGAATACATTAAAAGAAGAACCATTGGTAGTTGCTAGCTTAACTGAAGTGTTTTCAGAAAGCAACATTGATGACAAAACAGTAAAGTTTCTTTTTGTTGTTTGTTTTTGCCAATTGATTTTTTTCTTTATATTATAATTATCATGTTTTCATTCTATATTAAAATTAAACCTTTTATTGATATTAAGTATAGGACGACATTTTTTTATCCATATTAAATATAGGAATCTGAAAAAGATCAATTATCAGTTGATAACAATGTTAAAGAAATACAACAAGAAGAACATCATGATGAGCATAAACATAATACTGAAATCGAGAATACATTAAAAGAAGAACCATTGGTAGTTGCTAGCTCAACTGAAGTGTTTTTAGAAAGCAACATTGATGACAAAACAGTAAAGTTTCCTTTTGTTGTTTGTTTTTGCCAATTGATTTTTTTCTTTATATTATAATTATCATGTTTTCATTCTATATTAAAATTAAACCTTTTATTGATATTAAGTATAGGACGACATTTTTTTATCCATATTAAATATAGGAATCTGAAAAAGATCAATTATCAGTTGATAACAATGTTAAAGAAATACAACAAGAAGAACATCATGATGAGCATAAACATAATACTGAAATTGAGAATACATTAAAAGAAGAACCATTGGTAGTTGCTAGCTTAACTGAAGTGTTTTCAGAAAGCAACATTGATGACAAAACAGTAAAGTTTCTTTTTGTTGTTTGTTTTTGCCAATTGATTTTTTTCTTTATATTATAATTATCATGTTTACATTCTATATTAAAATTAAACCTTTTATTGATATTAAGTATAGGACGACATTTTTTTATCCATATTAAATATAGGAATCTGAAAAAGATCATATATCAGTTGATAACAATGTTAAAGAAATACAACAAGAAGAACATCATGATGAGCATAAACATAATACTGAAATCGAAAATACATTAAAAGAAGAACCATTGGTAGTTGCTAGCTCAACTGAAGTGTTTTCAGAAAGCAATATTGATGACAAAACAGTAAAGTTTTTTTTTGTTGTTTGTTTTTGCCAATTGATTTTTTTCTTTATATTATAATTATCATGTTTTCATTCTATATTAAAATTAAACCTTTTATTGATATTAAGTATAGGACAACATTTTTTTATCCATATTAAATTTAGGAATCTGAAAAAGATCAATTATCAGTTGATAACAATGTTAAAGAAATACAACAAGAAGAACATCATGATGAGCATAAACATGATACTGAAATCGAGAATACATTAAAAGAAGAACCATTGGTAGTTGCTAGCTCAACTGAAGTGTTTTCAGAAAGCAACATTGATGACAAAACAGTAAAGTTTCCTTTTGTTATTTGTTTTTGCCAATTGATTTTTTTCTTTATATTATAATTATCATGTTTTCATTCTATATTAAAATTAAACCTTTTTTTTATTGATATTAAGTATAGGACGACATTTTTTTATCCATATTAAATATAGGAATCTGAAAAAGATCAATTATCAGTTGATAACAATGTTAAAGAAATACAACAAGAAGAACATCATGATGAGCATAAACATGATACTGAAATCGAGAATACATTAAAAGAAGAATCATTGGTAGTTGCTAGCTCAACTGAAGTGTTTTTAGAAAGCAACATTGATGACAAAACAGTAAAGTTTCCTTTTGTTGTTTGTTTTTGCCAATTGATTTTTTTCTTTATATTATAATTATCATGTTTTCATTCTATTTTAAAAATTGAACCTTTTTTTTATTGATATTAAGTATAGGAAGACATTTTTTTATCCATATTAAATATAGGAATCTGAAAAAGATCAATTATCAGTTGATAACAATGTTAAAGAAATACAACAAGAAGAACATCATGATGAGCATAAACATAATACTGAAATCGAGAATACATTAAAAGAAGAACCATTGGTAGTTGCTAGCTCAACTGAAGTGTTTTTAGAAAGCAACATTGATGACAAAACAGTAAAGTTTCCTTTTGATGTTTGTTTTTGCCAATTAATTTTTTTCTTTATATTATAATTATCATGTTTTCATTCTATATTAAAATTAAACCTTTTATTGATATTAAGTATAGGAAGACATTTTTTTATCCATATTAAATATAGGAATCTGAAAAAGGGCAGTTATCAGTTAATAACAATGTTAAAGAAATACAACAAGAAGAACTTCATGATGAGTATAAACATGATACAGAAACCGAGAATACATTTAAAGAAGAAACAGTGGTAGTTGTTAGCACTAGTGAGGTGTTTTCAGAAATTAATATTGGCGACAAAACAGTAAAGCTTCTATTTATTAATTAATTTTTTCCAATTGTTTGTTTTTTTATTTTGTTATTCTAAATCATGTTTTTATTCCATACTAAATTGAAACATTTTGTTAATCCATATTAAATATTCAATTAAATATAGGAAATCATTTTTTTATCCATGTTAAATATAGGAATCTGAAAGAGATCAATTATCAGTTGATAACAATGTTAAAGAAATACAACAAGAAGAACAGCATGAGCATAAACATGATACAGAAATTAAAAATACTTTGAAAGAAGTATTGGTTGTGGTTGCTCGCACTAGTGAGGTGTTTTCAGAAAGCAACATTGAAGTCAAAATAGTAAAGTTTCTTATTGTTGATTGCTTTTCAAAATAGTTTGTTCTATTTATTTTGTTATTTTTCTTCAATTTTTGTTATTATGTATAAATTCAAACTTTTTTTTATCTAAATTATATTTAGGAAGACAATATTGAATCTGGAAAAGATCAATCATCAGTTAATAATAGTGTTAAAGAAACACAACAAGAAGAAAGACATAATGAACTTAAAAATGATACAGAAATCAAAAATGCATTGAAAGAAGAACCAGTGGTAGTTGCTAGCACTAGTTATGTGTTTTCAGAAAGTTACATTGGCGACAAAACAGTAAAGTTTCCTTTTACTGATTGATTTTTCCAATTATTTCTGTTTTCATTATGTTATATTTATCATGTTTTCATTTTATATTAAATTTAATCTTTTTTTTTATCGATATTAAATATAGCAAGAAATTTTTTTTATTCATATTTAATATAGGAATCTGAAAATGGTCAATCATCAGTTGATAATAATGTTGAAGAAATACAACAAGAAGAACGTCATGATGAGCATAAACATAACACAGAAATCGAGAATACATTAAAAGAAGAAACAGTGGTAGTTGCTAGCACTAGTGAGGTGTTTTCAGAGAGCAACATTAAAGACAAAGTAGTAAATTTTTTTTTTTGTTAAATAATTTTCAAAAAGTTTAATACTATATAATACTTGTAATACTACTATGTAATACTACAAAAAGTTTAATACTATGTAATACTATTTAATACTTGTTTTTTTTTTCAATATTTTTATAAATTCAAACTTTTTTTTATCCAACTTATATTTAGGAAGACAATATTGAATCTAAAAAAAATCAAGCATTAGTTGATAATAATGATAAAGAAACTCAACTAGAAGAACGTTGTGATGAACATAAACATAATAAAGAAATTGAAAATAGATGGAAAGAAGATCCAATCGTGGTTAATATCGCTAGTGATTTCGTCACAGAAAACAAAGATATAAACAAAACAGTAAAATCTATTTTTAAATGGATTTTGAAATCATTTTGTATATCTTTTTTGTTCAGTTTATTTTTATCAAATATTTAGTTTATTATAATAGTTTATATTATATTTCTTAGTCTGCACTATTTTTATTGTTGTTTTTGATTTTTTTTACTTCTCTATATCCTACTGCTATTTTTTTGTCATTGGTGAATATTAACAGCTAATCACACTGAATGATTTGAAATCTTGTCACAAATCTTACTTTCGCTAAAGTAAGATTTGTGACAAAACTTTTATTTTAATCTCTCACCAGATAGTCAACTTTATAACTCTTTTTTCAGACAATTCACTTACTATCATATGCTCTCAGAAATCTTTGATTTGCATCTTATGTCTTTTGTTTTTGCTATAGCTTGTTCTACTTTTGAAAAATGAAATCTTATGGATTGAAGCATCACGTTAGCTTTTTTTATTTTTCGTTGGTTTTAAATCAATTCTTACTTTTTTTACTTTTTCTCCTTTTTGAGCAGTGTCTCTAATCGCAGTTAATTTTTTCACATTTAATTCTTAGCATAGTTAATTCTGTTATTAAGATCCTCAGATTACTAAATCTCATGTTTCTCATAATCTCGTATCTCATTAGTTTGGTTTTAGAGAAAAAATTTAAAATGTTGTTAACAAAGGCGAGTCTTTCATACATGGTTGTGATCTGTTTACTCCTCCAAAAGGTGAGACAGTTTTATTGGCAAAACATTTTCCTCAAATTTTTATTTTTAATCAAATGATATCAATATCAATCAAATCAATATCAATCAATCAAATGAAATCAAATACTTTTCTTCAGATCTCAGGCAAACAAGTTAATCTATTGTTAGACATTCAGTTTACTCTAGATTCCGCAGGTAAATTTCTTTTTTTATTGAAACTCCTCTACAGCTTGTTGTCAAGACGACATTCCTATCACAATTATGCAAAGGTTTTTCCAATACTCTCTAAAATATTTAACAAGTTTTTAACTAAATCTTGTTTTACTACTTGCTGGGTAAAATTGAGTAATTGTGTTTGTGATTCCAATTTGTAAAAATTCTGGACATTGGTTTGACCTTTTTACCTGTTTTTAAATTAATCTTCTTTTTATTATTAAAGTCTTGGATATCAACAAACTTCTAATATCATATTTTGGTTTTAATAACCTACTCTGTAACTATCATTACAGATTTTGTTTCTCTTATTTTAATGCTGTTTTCTTAGCCGTAACAACATTAGGTTTGTTTTAAAAAATTTATTTTCAATGAATTATCTTATTAATATGTTATCAAATTTAGGAAGACAATATTGAATCTGCAAAAGGTCAATCATCAGTTGATAAAATTGTTACTGAAACACAACAAAAAGAACCCCGTGATGAACATAAACATGAAACTGAAACTGAACATTTATTGACTGAAGAACCGGTAATAGTTACTTGCACTAGTAAGGTGTTTTCAGAATGTAATAATGAATACACATATAGTAAAAAAAATTTCTGTTAAAATATTATTATTAATAATTAACTCTAATATTGTAGATATTAATTCTTGTTAATTTATTTCTTATTTAGGAAAAACCAATTGCACCCATCAATCATCAGTCATCAGTTGATTGCATTAATAATGAAAATCAAGAAGAAGTGGACTGTAATGAACATAAGCAAGATACTAAAGCAGAAAATGCATCATCTGAGCCAGTTCTGGTAGTTTGCGTCAGTGAGGTCAGAAAACATTCAGAAAACAACAAGGAAAATAAAATAGTAAAAATGTTTTCATAAAATAAGTTTAAAATTTATTATTTTTAAACTAATTATTTATGTTTATAATCAATATTCAGGAAGACAGTGTTGAACTCGGAAAAGATCAATCATCACTTAATAACATCGTTAAAGAAGTCCAACAAGAAAAGTGTTACGACGAATTTAAAGATGAGACTGAAACTGAACATTCATTAAATAAAGAACCAGTTAGTTATTTTTTCCTTAAAACACCTCACAATTTTCAATTAGTGAGGTTTTTTCAGAAAGTATCAAAAGGTGGCAAAATAGTAAAAAAAATATTTCATAATAATTTTGAAACGTTTTTTTTTTAATTATAAATTTTTTTTTACTCAGAACGAGAAAATGGAATTTAAACAACACAAAGCATCAGTTGATAACATCGTGTATGAAACAAAAGAGCATGAACATTTTGATGAACACAAAAATGACATTAAAATAGAACATGCATCAATTAAAGATCCAGTTTCAGCTAGCTACAATAGTGAGGTATTTTAAGTTTCAGCTAGCTTCAATAGTGAGGTATTCTTAGTTTTGGCTAGCTACAATAGTGAGGTATTTTTGAAAAGAAGACACAATAGTATACTTATTTTTGATTAACTATCATTTGAATATTTTTTATTTATTTATTTATTTTTTTATAAATATATTTTTTAATTAGGAAGTGATAGTAACAAAAAATTTGCATCAGCAATCAGTTAACGGTTTTGTTGAACAAAATCAACACACAGAACATCGCTATGATGATCGCAGCAATGATGTTCACCATGTTTGCAATCCTTTATTGATGAATGACTCAAAGACATATTGTGATGAATCTATAACATGCACTACAGAATTTTGCAAAAATGATGAAAAAGAAGACAAAAGAGTAAAATTATTTCGAAGAAATATTTTGAAAACTTTAATTGTTTTACTTTATATTTCATTTTTGTATGTATTGATTATTTAGGGAAAGAAAATTGAAACAGAATTACATCATGAGTCAGTTGATACCTTAGTTGAAGCAACTTTACGTGAAATTTCACCGTGAAGATCACATTCATCAGGGTTAATAAAACTAGGAAATGAACACAAACTGTTGAATGCGGAAATAAATACTCCAGTATTAGTGAAAAAAATAACTTTGAAAACCATAAATTCTAAAATCTACTTTAAGATTCCAAAGAATATTATTCTTTGTTTTATTTCTTTAATTATTTATAGAGATGTTATTCAACTTTAAGAGATTTATTATAAAAATTTTTAAATATATAAATATTTTAGTAATATAAATATGTCGTTAACCCACTAATACTGTGAGATGTTAGGTGTTACTAAAATACTAACTTTAATACCAAATTAAATACTAATTGATTTATTTTTTAACACTATCATAAATGCATTTATGAATTTTTATGAATAGCTTTTATAAAAATTGAAAATACAGTATTTAGATTTTGAAATTTTATATGTTATAAGTTTTAAACTGATTTTTAACTATTGCATTTGAATATGCCGGAAATGTTTATATTGACACACTTACTTTTTTGTGTATATTAAAATACTTAAAAATAATAAAAACGATTCAAGAAATAAAAATAAAAAAAATTAATTTCTTTTTTTTTAAATTTCTAACGTACCAGAAATAAATCTGTGCGTGTTCTAATGTTGTATTTACGGAAACCCCACGTTAAATAGTTAATTGTTATAAAATGTCATTTTATTAGTGTTATTCAAAATATAAACTGCGTTGTTATCAAAATAATTAGTTTTAATTAAATGTCATCAAAAAAAAATAAGAAGCGAGAAAAAGTTTTGCATTTTTTGGTTGAAAATCTTGGTTTATCAAACAAAACAATATCAAAAAAGTTGCAGATTTCTATGAGATCAGTGCAGAGAGTAAAGGCAAATTGTGGCTACAAATCTTTTAAAAAGAAAAATGTTCCTTGTCTTAAAATACAGCAAGAAAATGTTGCAATTCGTCGTTTAAAGCTGCTCTATATAAAATTATGTGCTAAAAAAATCTTTTTTTGATTATTGATGATGAAACTTATTGAGCTGCATATTTCCGATCTTTTCCAGGACACCAATAATATTCAGCATATTTCATCCAGAACACCAATATTATTCAGCATATTTCATCCAGGACACCAATATTATTCAGCAAATTTCTTCCAGGACACCAATATTATTTAAAAATTAATCGCAAGAAACTGAATTCTAAATACAAATGCATTAGCATGCAAAAACTCACTAAAATGTTTTTATTTAGCAAGCAATTTGTGAATGAAGCACTTGTTGTCTATTTTGTGTCATGTGGATGCAGAGGTGAATCTACCCAATATTTTTTGCGTCAAAATTTGATTAGGCTGAGACAGTATAATCAAGGACCCAAAAAAATTAAAAATGTATGATCAAGGACACAAAAAACCTTGCTAATTAGAAAACGCTCTACTGTTTTACTTGGATGAGGAAGATCTAATGTAGTCTTTCAAGAATTATTTTTGTCTGCAATATCAAAATTTCATTCAAAATAGTTTTCTAATCTTGAAGATCTAGAATTAACAGAACAATTTAAAGGTTTTGTTTAACTATTACTTGTTAATTATATGTTTAATTATGTTAACTATGTTAGCTAATTATGTTTTTTTAATGCTAGGCTTAATTTTATAAGTTAGCACCTTAACTTATAAAAAATGAATAATACTTAACGTTGACCAGGGAAAACTACTTAGGGGGATAAAAGTACAGTATTAACAGACTACGAAAATGCAATAAATGAAATTCAATATTTGTACCAGAACGTTGTTTTAATTTTTGTCTTTGACATGTTTCTTTTGTGCTTTACACCACCGACATAATCCCTGGTGACAAAAAATTGACACAATCTATAGGCAATTAAAACTTATTGAATTTGTAATTACCCACTTCACTTTTGTTGTTGTTTTGCTTATAAAGTTTTAGTTTTCTTTTGCGGAAAATGTATTTAAATTAGTCAATTAGTTAAAGCCGACTACTTTAATTGAACTAGTGAACAACTATTGTAATTAATATCCTAATGCTAAAACTAAGGATATTGTAAAGTATTTTTTCAATAGAATATTGTTTTGCCTCTAACTACCTTGAAAGAATTACCAAATGTTATTTGGCAAAGTGAAAGAATATTGAACACAACGTTGCTTGGATCAGGTTAAAAGCCAACATTTATGACTGCTAGGAACATCAATTGTCTGAGAGATCTCCCTAAAAACCAGTCTGGAATTTCAAGGAAATTTACAAAGAACTAGTTTTTAATTATTTTTTTTTTATTTTTATTTTTTTTATTAATTTTTTTTTGCCGGTTCATATATTTACAGTAAAGACATTACATTTGTAAAAATTGGCCGGAGCAAGAAGAAGACACTGACTGTCTTATCACCGAGCCCCGTTTACAAAATGTCCGTGTTTATAAACAAATATGAATAAAATATACAAAAAAACGTTAAAGAGTACATAACTTTTATCAAATAATAAAATAAAAATTATATTAAAAATTTAAAGATAAAGAAAGTTTTGTATACTAATACAAATATATTTCATACGTATAACAAAATATATTTAATGCTAATGGAAGCGATTTTTCTATTTTAAAATTACCTTTTAAAAAAAATATTTAAAGTCTATTGAATTAAAATCTAATTGAAGTAAAATTCTTTTAGAAACTGTTTTAAACTGTTTTCTAAAGAGTAATGTTCTTTATTAAAGTTTTTAATAAAAATTTTCCATAAAAAAGGTCCTCGATATTGAATTCGATAAGAACTTATTTTTAAATTAATTCTCGGAACAATAAAGTTATGAGATATTTTGCTAAAATAAGATTGAAATATAAGTGGAGATATTCCATGTTTCATTTTAAACATTAAAAGTAATGTTTGGTAAATGTTTAGTTTATAAATGTTTAAGACCTTGAGACGATTTAATAGCGGTTAACAAATATAATCGTACAAGCATGCTTTTGTTTACTATAAAGTTTTTTGAGTTTTCCGTAATTCGTACTTCCTCATGCAATGTTGCAGTAAGAAAGATAGCTGTGAATAAATGAAAAATAAATTTTCATTAGAGCTTTTGCGTTTAAAAATGGTTTTGTTTTATAAAGTACGGAAAATTGCAAATGCGATTGTTTTTACATCGTAAAAACTTTATATAAAACAAAAATTTATTATTTAAAGAAAAAAATTCCTGACTGCACTGATAGAACAGTTGCTAATGAAGTGTGGAAAAATTTGTCTTTGGTGATGAATCGTATTTTCCATATAAATAAACATATAAATAAAATCAAAAATACTGGGTTTCACTCAAATAATCCAAGGCGTACCAAAAAATGTAAAATATAAACGCAAAAACCAATTAAAAATAGTAATTCTTGCTTTATCCTCTCTTAGAATCTCTTAACCATACAACAAAAGTATTCAACTTTTTTTCTTTTTTTTTTTTGTTATATCATGAGTTACTCTTGAGTTGTTTAATTTTTTTTTAATATGTAGATATGTGCGGCCGTGGCGCAGTAGTTAGAGCGCTTGCTTTATAAGCAGGAGATCCAGGTTTGAAACGAGCTCTGGATATATTTTCGTGTCACGGTAAGGAGGCGTGAACTTCCTGGTCAAATGCACTTCCGTGGTGCTCTGTGACAAGACCGTTAGGTCTTGTTGGGATTCCTAAATAACAAAGTTAATTTTTATTCATCCTTTTTTTTTTATAAATCTATAGTTTAGTTTCTGCTTCTTATATAATATGTGATTTTTTTCTCTATTATCTTTTTTTTTTTTTCAGAGATCTTTTTATAAACTTTTCTTACTTTTTTAAAGTTATGGTCTCTGTTTCATCCATCGGTCTAATCAGAAATTTTGATACGTAATTTCTAAATGTTTAGCAAAATGAAGATGATGACAAAAAGATGAGTGACATATTAACTTTTACAAAATTTACAAATACCTATTACTAGTGTCCGTAATTTTGGGATTTCCAAGAGTTTTATGAATGGCTTTCAAACATCTTGTGCCTTGAACATCTTTAAAGTGGATTATCTTCAAAGATTCAAACTTCAATATACTTTTTATTAACATAAAATGACTGACTTTTTTATTAACATAAAATCGCCATGTCCAGTTTTTGAAAGCATGGTACAGGGCCCAAAGGCAGAAAAAAATCTGTTGAAAAAGTTCTAAAAAAATAAAAGAACAAAGGTACGCTGGAAGAGCGTGGCATCGATGAAGTTCAAAAAAAAAGGCATCTAATAACTCTACGTCCGACCAAGTAGTCAAAGTATATGTTAACAGCTTTATATTTTTATTCACAATCTTATATTCATAATTTTATTCGAAACTGTAAAAACAATTCTTTTTAGACGGACCATGCTACCAACAGCGTTGATGAACCGCTAAAAGAGCGTTTTCGGAAGGTAGAAAATTTGGAGAGAAAAAAGGATTCTGACATTGCAAAGCTGATTACAGACATTTTGGATCAAAGCCAAATTTATTTAAAGAACTGTAGGGGCCTGGGCTATGATAACTGGATTAATATGTCGGGTGTATACAAAGGAGCGTAGGCCATCATTCTCGAAAAAAATCCTCAAGCTGTGCTTATGTCTTGCAGTGCGCATAGTCTTAAACTAGCTGCAGAATTCTCTACTTTAGTCAAGAACTATTTTGGCAACATTCAATTGTTGTTTAACCTTTTTAGTAGTAGCCACATGCGCTGGAAAGAACTAGACAGTTCTTTCACCAAACGTCCCAAACAAAATGAAGTGCGCCCATAGTGGCTGTCGGCCATTGTTGAAACGACCAAAAGAAATACTTTGAATATTTCAAGTCCTTGAAACTTCTTGAAGAACTTGATTTAGAAGATCATCAACTGACTTTAGTTAAGGCACTCAAAAAGTGGATTCAATCATTTGAATTATTTGCCTTGACTTCAATCAGAAAGCACTTTTTTGGATAATAAGACAAAGTTTTTAGAGATCTAATTAATGATCTTGACCGACTACGTTCTTTTTGGCCCCAAATCCTTCAAGAAACGAAACTGGTTGCATCTGGGTTAGCTTCGTTTAGGTTTCAAAATGATAAGGTACAAAATGTATACAGCTCAAAAGGCGACGGTAATGTTATTTCCTTCTAGTGATAAAGAAAAACTTAGTCAGAAAGATAAATGCAATGTT